ACAGATGTTGTTGTGTGTACCTGACAGATGTTGTTGTGTTTACCTGACAGATGTTGTTGTGTGTACCTGACAGGTGTTGTTGTGTTTACCTGACAGGTGTTGTTGTGTGTACCTGACAGGTGTTGTTGTGTTTACCTGACAGATGTTGTTGTGTGTACCTGACAGATGTTGTTGTGTTTACCTGACAGATGTTGTTGTGTGTACCTGACAGATGTTGTTGTGTGTACCTGACAGATGTTGTTGTGTTTACCTGACAACTGTTGTTGTTTTTACCTCACAGCTGTTGTTGTGTTTACCTGACAGGTGTTGTTGTGTCTGTTTCAGAGGATCAAGGATCTGGAGGAGTTTATAGAAGCACAGAAGCGACAGATCAAAGAGCTTGAAGAGAAGGTACAGACCAGAAATACAGATCATCTTTCAGATCAAACTCTGATCCTGACTCTGATCCAGACTCTGATCCTGACTCTGATCCAGACTCTGATCCAGACTCCCTGACTCTCTGATCCAGACTCTCTAATCCTGACTCTCTGATCCAGACTCTCTGATCCAGACTCTCTGATCCAGACTCTGATCCAGACTCTCTAATCCTGACTCTCTGATCCATACTCTCTGATCCAGACTCTGATCCAGACTCCCTGACTCTCTGATCCAGACTCTCTAATCCTGACTCTCTGATCCAGACTCTGATCCTGACTCTCTGATCCAGACTCTCTAATCCTGACTCTCTGATCCAGACTCTCTGATCCTGACTCTCTAATCCTGACTCTCTGATCCAGACTCTGATCCTGACTCCCTGACTCTCTGATCCTGACTCTGATCCAGACTCTGATCCAGACTCCCTGACTCTCTGATCCAGACTCCCTGACTCTCTGATCCTGACTCTCTGATCCTGACTCTCTGACTCTCTAATCCTGACTCTCTGACTCCCTGATCCTGACTCCCTGATCCTAACTCCCTGATCCAGACTCTGATCCAGACTCTGATCCAGACTCCCTGACTCTCTGATCCAGACTCTCTAATCCTGACTCTCTGATCCTGACTCTCTGATCCTGACTCTCTGATCCTGACTCTCTAATCCTGACTCTCTGATCCTGACTCTCTGATCCTGACTCTCTGATCCTGACTCTCTAATCCAGACTCTCTGATCCTGACTCTCTGATCCAGACTCTGATCCAGACTCCCTGACTCTCTGATCCAGACTCTCTAATCCTGACTCTCTGATCCTGACTCTCTGATCCTGACTCTCTGATCCTGACTCTCTAATCCAGACTCTCTGATCCTGACTCTCTGATCCTGACTCTCTGATCCTGACTCTCTAATCCTGACTCTCTGATCCTGACTCCCTGACTCTCTGATCCTGACTCTCTGACTCTCTAATCCTGACTCTCTGACTCCCTGATCCTGACTCCCTGATCCTGACTCCCTGATCCTAACTCCCTGATCCTGACTCTCTGATCCTGACTCCCTGATCCAGACTCCCTGACTCTCTGATCCTGACTCTCTGACTCTCTAATCCTGACTCTCTGACTCCCTGATCCTGACTCTCTGATCCAGACTCCCTGACTCCCTGATCCTGACTCCCTGATCCTGACTCTCTGATCCTGACTCTCTGATCCTGACTCTCTGATCCTGACTCTCTGATCCTGACTCTCTGATCCTGACTCTCTGATCCAGACTCTCTGACTCTCTGATCCTGACTCTCTGATCCTGACTCTCTGATCCTGACTCCCTGACTCCCTGATCCTGACTCTCTAATCCTGACTCTCTGATCCTGACTCCCTGACTCTCTGATCCTGACTCTGACTCTCTAATCCTGACTCCCTGACTCTCTGATCCTGACTCTCTGATCCTGACTCTCTGACTCTCTAATCCTGACTCTCTGACTCTCTGATCCTGACTCTCTGATCCTGACTCCCTGATCCTGACTCCCTGATCCTGACTCCCTGACTCCCTGATCCAGACTCCCTGACTCTCTGATCCAGACTCTCTGATCCTGACTCCCTGATCCTGACTCCCTGACTCCCTGATCCTGACTCTCTGATCCTGACTCTCTGACTCTCTAATCCTGACTCTCAGACTCTCTGATCCTGACTCTCTGATCCAGACTCCCTGACTCTCTGATCCTGACTCTCTGATCCTGACTCTCTGATCCTGACTCCCTGATCCTGACTCTCTGATCCTGACTCCCTGATCCTGACTCTCTGATCCTGACTCCCTGATCCTGACTCTCTGATCCTGACTCTCTGATCCTGACTCTCTGATCCAGACTCCCTGATCCTGACTCTCTGATCCTGACTCCCTGATCCTGACTCTCTGATCCTGACTCCCTGATCCTGACTCTCTGACTCTCTGATCCTGACTCCCTGATCCTAACTCCCTGACTCTCTGATCCAGACTCCCTGACTCTCTGATCCTGACTCTCTGATCCAGACTCCCTGACTCTCTGATCCTGACTCTCTGATCCTGACTCCCTGATCCTGACTCTCTGATCCTGACTCTCTGATCCTGACTCCCTGATCCTGACTCTCTGATCCAGACTCCCTGACTCTCTGATCCTGACTCCCTGATCCTGACTCTCTGATCCAGACTCCCTGACTCTCTGATCCAGACTCTCTGATCCAGACTCCCTGATCCTGACTCTCTGATCCTGACTCCCTGATCCTGACTCTCTGATCCAGACTCCCTGACTCTCTGATCCTGACTCTCTGATCCTGACTCCCTGATCCAGACTCCCTGACTCTCTGACTCTCTGATCCTGACTCTCTGATCCTGACTCTCTGACTCTCTAATCCTGACTCTCTGACTCCCTGATCCTGACTCTCTGATCCTGACTCCCTGATCCTGACTCTCTGATCCAGACTCCCTGACTCTCTGATCCTGACTCCCTGATCCTGACTCTCTGATCCAGACTCTCTGATCCAGACTCCCTGATCCTGACTCTCTGATCCTGACTCCCTGATCCTGACTCTCTGATCCAGACTCCCTGACTCTCTGATCCAGACTCTCTGATCCAGACTCCCTGATCCAGACTACCTGACTCTCTGATCCTGACTCTCTGATCCTGACTCTCTGATCCTGACTCCCTGATCCAGACTCCCTGACTCTCTGATCCTGACTCTCTGATCCTGACTCTCTGATCCTGACTCCCTGATCCAGACTCCCTGACTCTCTGATCCTGACTCTGATCCAGACTCCCTGATTCTGACTCTCTGACTCTCTGATCCTGACTCTCTGATCCTGACTCTCTGAACCTGAATCTCTGAACCTGAATCTCTGAACCTGGTTCTCTGGTCTCTCCTCAGTTCCTCTTCCTCTTCCTCTTCTTCTCCCTGGCCTTCATCCTCTGGTCCTAACGGCAGCTGGTGAGTAGAACTCAGTATTCAGATAGGTAGTACTCAGATAGTAGTGAAGTACTCAGGGTGTACTGAAGTATTCAGGTAGCAGTGAAATATGCAGGTAGTACTCAGGTAGCAGTTTAGTATTCAGGTAGTACTCAGGTAGCAGTTTAGTATTCAGGTAGTACTCAGGTAGCAGTGAAGTTCTCAGGTAGCAGTGAAGTATTCAGGTAGTACTCAGATAGTAGTGAAGTACTCAGGGTGTACTGAAGTATTCAGGTAGCAGTGAAATATGCAGGTAGTACTCAGGTAGCAGTGAAGTTCTCAGGTAGTACTCAGGTAGTACTCAGGTAGCAGTGAAGTTCTCAGGTAGCAGTGAAGTATGCAGGAAGTACTCAGGTAGCAGTGAAGTATTCAGGTAGTACTCAGGTAGCAGTGAAGTATGCAGGTAGCAGTGAAGTATTCAGGTAGTACTTAGGTAGCAGTGAAGTATTCAGGTAGTACTTAGGCAGCAGTGAAGTATTCAGGTAGTACTCAGGTAGCAGTGAAGTATTCCAGTAGTACTCAGTACCTGTATGATGATGTCACAGTGAGGCTGAGGTCCGGTCTGTGTTTCAGAGTCCAGCAGGGCTCAGTCTGCTTCAGATGGACCTCACAGGGTTTCAGGAGATCCAGCACCTCACCGCCCACTGCCGTGCACCTGCTGCTGTCCACCAATCACAGCAGAGCCTGGCTGTCAGCTGACTCTGGTCCCGCCTCAGAGACCAGGCCAGGAAGGGACGGTCCTACCTCAGACAACAGGCCAGGAAGGGACGGTCCCGCCTCAGAGACCAGGACAGGAAGGGACGGACCCGCCTCAGAGACCAGGACAGGAAGGGACGTCCCGCCTCAGAGACCAGGACAGGAAGGGACGGTCCCGCCTCAGAGACCAGGACAGGAAGGGACCAACGCGCCTCAGGAGGTCTCAGGTGGCCGGTTCAACAACAGTTGGACCAATGTGGTGCTGGACTCAAATAAAAATGCTGTTACAGGTACAGGTACAGGTACTGTTAGGGGTTATGGACAGACTGTCCCAGCTGTTGGACTTAAGTGTTTAGGTGGACATTGGGGTCTTTTCTCAACTCTAACACTAAACCATATAAGAATGCCAAGAACTAGTGTGACGTGAGACGTCTCTGAGAGACTGAAGAGGAGACGTCTCTGAGAGACTGAAGAGGAGACGTCTCTGAGAGACTGAAGAGGAGACGTCTCTGAGAGACTGAAGAGGAGACGAGACTGAAGAGGAGACGTCTCTGAGAGACTGAAGAGGAGACGTCTCTGAGAGACTGAAGAGGAGACGTCTCTGAGAGACTGAAGAGGAGACGTCTCTGAGAAACTGAAGAGGAGACGTCTCTGAGAAACTGGACCATGTTCAGTTTCCTTACCCTTGTGTTCAGATTGAATCCAGATCATACAGACTGAGATCTGTATTGAAACGACTCTTTAAGAGAAAAGTATTGAATAGATTCCAGAAAAGGTTCAAACGTGCACTTTGTATTTGAATGTTTTTCTTTAAAGAGTGAAAACTCTCCGGTGGTCTGTTGAATCATATTTCTTTACTTTTTATTATACATGTACATTATTGTTATCTTTGCTGATTATGTATTTATTTATTCATCATTAAACGTCAACCCTTCCTCTGGACATTCAGTCTGCTGGTGTTCATGTTACTACACACTGTGTACTGTTACTACACACTGTGTACTGACACTACACACTGTGTACTGACACTACACACTGTGTACTGACACTACACACTGTGTACTGACACTACACACTGTGTACTGACACTACACACTGTGTACTGACACTGTTACTACACATGTATTATAATAATAATAATCCTTATATTTATTATAGCGCTTTATCAATGAATCTCAAAAATCTTTACAAATACACATTACACATACAGATCATACATGTAATGATCATGTACTGTGGACAATGCCCACAGGAGCAAGTTCAGGTGAAGTGTCTTGCCCAAGGACACAACGGCTTTACAGACGCAGCGGCGGCGGGTTTCACCCCCTTGATCTGATAATCAATGCACAGCGCACTGCGCACTGCGCCACACCGCCCATCTTCACACCTCGAAGTCATCAAGGCGCTTTTACAAGTACACATTGATATTATACATGTACTGTGGACAATACCCACAGGAGCAAATTCGGGTGAAGTGTATACTACTACATATACATGTACACTGTCACAGTGTGTCTCTGAGATTCAGTCAGACAGGAAGTCACTGAAACACACTCTGTTACGGTCCACTGACTGACCGTGTGTGTGTGTGTGTGTGTGTGTGTGTGTGTGTGTGTGTGTGGGGGTGTGGGTGTGTGGTGTGTGTGTGTGTTAAAATAAAGTGAATTTGACAGGCACAGAAATCCAGTTCAGACTTCAGTGTCTTCAGACAGCAGAGTAATGCGCACTGACCTGTGTGTGTGTGTGTGTGTGTGTGTGTGTGTGTGTGTGTGTGTGTGTGTGTGTGTGTGGGTGTGTGTGTGTGTGTGTGTGTGTGTGTGTGTGTGTGTGTGTGTGTGTGTGTGTGTGTGTGTGTGTGTGTTCCACTGCTCCAGAGTCCAGTCTTTACACCCTCCACTCCACGCTTGGCATGGTGTTGGTGATGAAAGGCTCAGCTGCTCGGCCACGAAAACCCGTGAAGCTCCCACAGTTTTGGTGCTGATATCAATATATATATATTAATATATATATATTAATATATATATATTAATGCCAGCTGGAACTCTGCAGTTATTGAGTGAGCAGAGCTTTGGCCTCTTTACGCACTATGCCTCCCCTCCCCCCGTGAAGGAGAAACTTCACGAACTGACTTGTTTCCCCGGTGGCATTCTGTTACAGAACCATGTTGTGATTCAGTGAGTTCTTTAGAACGAGCCTTTCTTTCAGAGATGTTTGTAAGGCAGAACTGCTATTATTCACCTGAGCAGTGAGACTGAAGGAAACACCTCAATCAGGGCTTTCACACCAACGCGATTCCCGTTCTAGCTCCTCTAGAGCTTTTCTGGTTCGGAACCGGTTTTTCTTTTCAGCCCCCGTTTTGTTCACACCGCCCAGAGCCCGACTGGTGCTGCTGCGTCATGACGTCAGCGCTTACGGCGCTTACGGCGCTCACTACAACAACAACAATAGAGAACCGCAGTGACGCGTCCTAAAACCCGGAAGTAAGTTAGCATTTTTACAAAAAGCATTTTTACAAAAAGCATTTTTACAAAAAGCATTTTACAAAAAGCAATGCAATTTCTCCAAAGGATTTTGGAAAATAGCTGGAAATAAGGTCTGCGTTTGAGACACATTGAAGAGACAGATCACGTTTTGTTATACGACATTAAATCCATCAGCAGTGACCCCACTGGTGATTTCTGAAGAGTTTACGTGTCTGAAAAACGATGGTTGTTACCAAGTGGCTGAATAGGACTACAGAAGTCGTGGAGGCCGTTGTACGTCATTACGCCGAACACGTAAACACTCCTCTAAGTTAGTTAGCCCTGTTCTGCTTGAAAGCAAGTACCTGCCTCCTGCTAACTGTTCAAACAAACGCTTCAACTCGTACCATTTAGAATCTGTAGTTTGAATATGGATCTGAAGTTGGCGTGACGTTGAAGCAGCGACCCTGCTGTAGTTCCTTTATAGCATCACGTTAGAATTTTGCTTCTGGCGACTAGATTTATGATTAGAAAATCATAAAAGTAGGGTAGACATGTGGAGATTATCCGGCTGAACAAAACGTGATCCGTCTCTTAAATGCGTCTCAACCACAGACCTTATTTCGAGCTATTTTCCAAAAATCCTATGGAGAAATTGCATTGGTTTTTGACGAAGGAACCGGAAGGAGTTTACTTCCGGGTTTTAGGACGCGTCACTGCGGTTCTCTATGGAGTCGATGATCGTGTTGCTTTTAATCATACGAAGCCAGATTAAATTAAATAACGACTTCTCCAACCTTATACTTTTCTCCAGAGTGCCGTGGTTCATTGTTTATTAATGTGTTTCATTTACCGACTGCTGCAGTGCTGGCTGCTCTTCAACGGGAGTTTATTCTCCCGTTAGCTCCGGGTTAGCTCACACGGCTCTAAAGTATTCACTGTCTGACTGTCACACAAGCAGCTGATACATATCCCCAGTTCCTCTTAAGTGAATGTGTTTCAGTCTGAATTGACACTGTTTGGCATCACAACGCTGTTATGAAAGTTTCTCTGGTATAACATGGGTGATGTTAGCATAGCAACCGAAGCTAAACTGACTACTTGCTAAGCCGTTTTATACAGGCACTTTTTACCGGCGTATTTTTCATTATGATTCTACTTGTGATAGTCGGACATGACAACCTGTGCAGCCCATGTATTGATTCCATCCGATAGCTGCTATAATAACAAACGTCTGCCTGCTCTCCACAGTGATCAATAACAGCGAACGGATGGTCAAAGTAAGGTACAAATAAACAGAATCACACGAAGCCTGGTTAGTGTTGCCTGACTTTATAAAGCGTGTTTTTTTTTATAAGTGTGTGGTTGCCTTCTAGTCACTTTGCTCAGAGCTACTGCTGGTTACAACTTTCATTTGCCGTACTCGCCTTAACTGTTAGCTCAGGTTAATCTCGCCCCCCTCCGACGTAAGCGTGGTGTAAGCAGTTCTCGCTTCTAGACCGACCATTTTTTGGTGCTTGAAACGAACCGGAATCCGGAGCTTAGAGGCGGCTCCGCTGTGGCTCCGCTGCTGCGGCTCCGCTGCTGCGGCTCCGCTGCGGCGTGAACAGGAAAACCCAGTTCAGGTTCTAGCTCCGAACCGGGCCTGGAACCGTGTTGGTGTGAAAGCCCCAAATGGTTCAGAGGAGTGTCCCAGTACTGTTGTCTATATACTGTATGTGTTGGTATATTCACTTAGAGAACCCTCCTCCTCCTGCTCCTCCTCTCCTCCTCCTCCTCCTCTCCTCCTCCTCTCCTCTCATTCCTCTCCATGATGTCTGAAGAGAGGAGGTGTTCTCAGGACTCCTCCTCCTCCTCCTCTCCTCCTCCTCCTCCTCTCCTCTCATTCCTCTCCATGATGTCTGAAGAGAGGAGGTGTTCTCAGGACTCTTCCTCCTCCCTTCTCTCCCGGCTGGGTTCTGACTCCCCTCGACCTCGGATGAAATATGGAGGAATGTTCTGCAGCGTGGAGGGAGCGTTCGAGAACAAAACGCTGACCTTCAGTCCACAGACCCAGAGACGAAGAGGAGGAGGAGGAGAAGGAGAAGCTGGAGGAAGAGGAGATGGAGGAAGAGGAGGAGGAGGAGGAGGACAGACGGTGGTGTTTCCCTCTGGACACGCACGGGAAAACTACGGCAAGAGAGAGGTGATGAACTTTATTCAACTCTTTTTATGTGTTTTAGCGAAATGTAAACTCAGCAGAACCCAGCGGAGAACGTGTAGTACAGACAACACGGTTCCCTGCTGGGGTGGGTTCCTCTGGGGTGGGTTCCTCTGGCGTCGGTTCCTGTGGCGACGGTCCGTCTGGGGTCGGTTCCTCTGGGTTGGGTTCCTCTGGGTTGGGTTCCTCTGGGGTCGGTTCCTCTGGGATGGGTTCCTCTGGGATGGGTTCTTCTGGGTTGGGTTCCTCTGGGATGGGTTCCTCTGGGGTCGGTTCCTCTGGGATGGGTTCCTCTGGGATGGGTTCTTCTGGGTTGGGTTCCTCTGGGATGGGTTCCTCTGGGGTCGGTTCCTCTGGGTTGGGTTCCTCTGAGGTCGGTTCCTCTGGGATGGGTTCCTGTGGGTTGGGTTCCTCTGGGGTCGGTTCCTCTGGAGTGGGTTCCTCTGGGTTGGGTTCCTCTGGGGTCGGTTCCTCTGGGGAACCTGCTCAGCTCCTGTTGTTTCACTGTCCAATCTCCGGAGAACTGTGCTGTCACTCAACAGCCTGAGTAGCCAATGGGGTGGCTCCGCTGAAAGTCCCGCCCACGCTTAAGGTTTGAGTCAAAATGTCTAACAGAAAATAACAAACAAGAGGAAAAGTGAGATCAGAGAAGAGAAGCAGAGGTTCCTCGTTAACTCCCAAGGTCTTTTATTTTGAAACTCTACATCAGAATGTCCTGATTTATTCTGAGTGACTAGATGGGGTGTCCTGCTATCACCCTGAAGTGAAATAAGTCTTTGATACTGGACAGTTTTTGTTTTATTGTCATCTAAAAACAGAGGGATGATAGCTCATATATGAGACTTCAAATGTATTTTATTTTGAAACTCTAAGTTTTACATTCAGTTAGTTATAATGTGGTAGTTATACGTAGTTTGTCTTACATTATTATTGATCACATTAGGCCTATATAGTACATATTTCAATATGTTTGGTATAATTGTTATTGACCGAGTAAGCACTTTTATTTTGAAGGCAGTCTTTCCAGACCGCTACCGTATTGCAGAGGATATTCGCGCACCACAAAACAACGCGGATGCTGGCTTGACTGTGGGTTTTTCTCAATGTCGAGTACGCTTGCTTGGTAGCACATGTCTGCCGAGCGTCTTGCTTCAGAAGCGAGGCAAGAATCCTTCCTGGCATTCGGAAAACAAAGAGTGGAACAGGCTAGCAAGTGTGCAGGTGTGCGTCATATGAGAGGCCCCACCTCTTACATCTTCCAC